TGGATAAATTAAGCTCTCAAGTGTTCCTTGCTTTATGAAACTCTGCATGTTGTACACTTCAACACAAATAAATGACTTGTACCATTAGAGGTTTAAATAATGTAATGTATTTCATGCTCAGCCTGAAGCTGGATTCCAATGAAGTTGCTAATGCACGTAATGATTAAGTGTAACTCAAATACTAACTGTGTTGTTGAAAACATGACAGGCAATAATTTGGTCTATTATATTCTGCCATTTAATTGCCTAGTACAGACATTCTCTGACACGTTATGAAGCAATGATTTACAATTATTCAAGCTGCAAAGGTCAGAAAGGGACATTATAATCATCCACACAGATCCCTCTAATGCGCTAATGCACAAAAACTAGGTAATGCCACACATGTAAAAAAAAAGAGAAGAAGAAGAGTTTTACTGCATTAGCAACTTTCTATTTCAGGTTTCTTAGAAACTTTCCACTTAAGGTTTCTTAAACCTGATCAGAATAAACAGATCATAAGCACATTAATACACAATAGAAAATGTCTAGAATCTTTTCTTGAACCTGGAGGTGACAGATTTAGAAAATGCCTTATTCTCTCCTGACTAGGGAAATTCTCCTCAACTATTTAACTCTACACACAAGACTCAAGGCTAGAAATAGGAACATCACTCAGAAAATAACATGATCCCTGAATCGTGCACACTGGGGTCTCTGTGAATAATGGCATACAAAGTCAGGCATATCTCCTAGGGTTACTGAATTCACAGGCTACTTACTAGTTTTTCTACTAATTCTTTTTTATTTAATAACTAGTAATGAAAAACAGAAACAATAACTCACATTGATCAATTTCACCCCCCACATCCTAATGAAAAGATAATAAAATCTTCACTTTTTTAGGCACTTCTGTTATACAAACATGTTTAATTTTTAACCACTCAAGTGCAATAAATTATCAACACACAAAGAACAACTGGGAAAAATAATAAAATTATTTAAAACAACAGTTTAATATGAGAAAAGTGAAACAGAGAGATAGAAAAAAGAGACTGAATAACAGAATATTAAAGTAAAACACTGCAAGCAATTTTGTAAAAGAACATAAATCTGAGCAAAAGTAGGAAATAAGAGTAGCTGGGCCTGGAAGGAGAAAAGTTGCAGCTATTACATGCTGGTGAAAACAACCTAAAAAGAAAAGTAAGTACAAATGAAAGATAGTATCCAAAACAACAGATACTATAAAAAGCAGAGAAATAAGGAAAAAGGATAGTTAAATGGAAGGAAACACTGGTCTACTGCATAATTTAAGTCCATCACTACAAACACTTTAAGTCTCAAGTTTACCTTCTGTACAGTAGGGATTATAAACATGAGATGAACAGTGTTATGAAACTACAAAGATCAACAACAAAATAAGCGTTACTTAAGGCATACACTAAACCACAGCACTGCACACACACTACTTATCAGTGTATCACACACACTATTACATGCACAATACAGAAGCAGTGCTAAGTGAGCTGACATGAGTTTAACAAACGTGGTATCTATAATGACCTTTTATCAGTGTATTACACACACTATTACATGCACAATACAGAAGCAGTGCTAAGTGAGCTGACATGAGTTTAACAAACGTGGTATCTATGATGACCCTTTTGAACCACTGAGGTTTTCAGGTTCTTGACTACTGAAAAAAACAAAGGTAAAGATCATGGATTCAGTAAAACAAAAATGTGTTTAACCTATTTTTAAACATGTGTCCCAAACAAGATTATTAACTTATACGTAGGAGTGCTTTCTGTTATTTGTTATTTTCTCCCCCACAAGCCATCTGTCAGACTCAGAGCCATTTTCAGGTCAACTCTCTACCCATCAAGTATGTATAAATACATGTCTATTCTACCAAAGTCCTCGAGTTCACACTCAGGTAAGAAACACACTAAGAAACTGTACTATTCAAAAAGTGTTCCTCCTGAAAACGAAAGCAAAATAAAAGGTTTGTAAATGAAGCTATCTAGAGCATGTTCTTAAAATAGGAAGTGTAAAGTGATCCATTTTTGACATTTTTATCATGCCATGAGCGTGTAAACCACGGGTAAACAGAACTGAAATCCTGAATTCTGAATCCACTACCTAGTAGGAATTAGGCATCGAACACATTCAGCTCCTCTTGTCAAACTAACTTAAATCCATAATATACTGTACCTAAGATCTGCTGATAAGGGGAAAAAAGATTATCTTAAAATTCAGCTTAAAGATTAAAAGAAAATCACTGTAGGTTCAAAAAACTGAAATAAAAGTTTAAAAGGCAGTTTTTGTTAAGAGAGTAGCTAATACAAAACCTTGAACTAAGCCTTAGAAAAAATGTCAGCTATATATTTGATGAGTATCTACAGTGTTCTAATAGAAAGACCATAAAGCTATAAGGAAGAACTCAAACAATCACAAATAATCTGAAACATTAATTCTGAGCTCAAGTCAACAAAATACACTGTTGTCGCCATCAGTTTCACCATAAAATAATAGGTTTTGTGTCTTTTTTCCATGAAACTAAAAGGCTACTAAAGAAAAATAATACAGTATTGTAATAATTTCATTTTTAAACGGTACCTGCCCCGTTATGCTTATATATTATTATGCAATCAAAACTATTTGAAAAACAGTTTATTTCTTTCAACTCAAATAATGAAGAGGTTATTAACAAAGTTCTAAAAGACAGAGACTAAGACATTAACGGCTGCAGTAAAGAAAACACAGTGCGGGACCTCGGTTTGAGACAAAATTAGAGTTAATGTTCCTGAAAGATCACCTCACCTTTTAAAGCATGATTTTTTTAAAAAAAGTAAAATTCATAGCAATTAAAGCTGATGAAGAGATGTAGCATGGGCTGCTGATGTTCGGGAACTAACAAGCCTACTGAGCATCTCTGAGACTAGGAGCCGTCAGCGGTGACACCCTGACACACTCCGTGCTGCTCACGTGCCGCTGCCGGGCTGCCGTGAGTCTGACAGTAATGCTACATTCCCAGTGCTTTTCACCTAATGTTTACCTACATACTGCCCTCTTCCTTTGAAACATGAACAACCTATGATACTTTTTATTTAAAACTGAAAGGTATCCAACTCACTATTGTTCTATTTCAAAAACATCAATCAATAGGCATTGTTCAGTTTACTGCAATTCTTCAGAATATTTAGCTGCATTGTGAAAATATCTGCCCTATAAAAATTGTTATGTAACTTTTAAATCAAATTTCATTTCTAAAAAATTAAGGAATCTGTCATTCCATGGTCAAATAAGATTCAATGACTACCATAATTCTAAGAGATACAATTTTGGGATCTAGATGGCTTTTCCTATGCACACACATATATGTAGACCTCTTTGACAGTAGTACAAAATATACTACATGCATTTGCAATATTTTATCTTGGGAATCAAATATATAAACCACTAGTGTGACACTTGGGTTGTATGTGGTAGCATTGAGCAAAACAAAATGTGCATTGTTCAAATTACACAATCAAAGCCAATCAATCACGCATTACTTTTGATGCTACCTATGTCAGAAACTGTTCTCTGAAAAATGTCTCTTTTTCTTCTTCCAGGGTCTTAGTAACCCTAATAAAAATGAATGGAATTAGATGTCTAATAACAGAGTATGCAAAAATTATTTATTTTGCGGAGATGAGAAAAAAACTGCTTATTGCCATCTAATAGCAAATTTTTGTTGAAGTCAGGGCCTTCCTCTTTCCTATGGTAAGAACTCACACGGTAAAAACAATAAATGAGATGTCTTTTTAAATTCCAAGACCTAGAGCAATTAAAATGAACCATTTGGCACTCGACCCTTGCAGCTAAAATCAGTAGCAACAAAACTCATTCTCCACTGATCTTCAGGGGGCTTTAGGGCAAAGGTTTGTCTTCATTTACTTTAGCTGCAAGTCACTGAACCATCAATTCTGCCAATGAATAAATCACAGACCATGGTTAATAAAACTGCTTGCAAAGTTATTTTTAAAACTATCTTAAGGGTCAAAATATGCAACGGCATCCTGGGATGAAGTGTAATGTCCAACAAAAACCAGAAGTGTTTTTGACTTCAAAGATATTTATATTTACACAACAGTGCCAACCAGAGGAATCTGCCAATAAAAAAATAACCCTACTATAACATGAGCACATTGCATAATTTAATTGAACCTAAATTATTTTGTGAATTAGCCATAGACTTGCAGGTTTCTTAGGCTTCACGGAAAGTGTTTTTATGTGATGCACTTATTAGTTCATTTCTCTGGCATAAGAAACACTGAAATATATTTTTAATCAGAAGTAGGGTATTAAGACCCAGCTCTGAATGTCCTACGATATACCACAGATGCCATGGCATTTTAAAATCTTTTAAGGCATCTCAGCACTTCCTATTAAATGTAAACATATGAGTGACAATTAAGGATTGTGAATGATTCATGAGAGGAAAGACTAAAAAGGAAAACAAGTTCTGAAATAAAGTTGCACGAAAGCCTACATTATGCACTGTTTTTTAAAGCTTCGTCCCTGCAATAATGAGTAACCAGTTGTCTGAAGTTAAATATTTTTCTGCTTTTTTTCTTATAAAATATGTCCAATGGATCCAAAGAGACACTAATATGATTAAATTTAAGCAGCAAAGCAAAAGAAAAAAAAAATACGTATACATTCCTAAATCTATATTATGTATATTTTGTCTTTAAATGGAATTTCCAGTTCTCTCTGGCAATGTGAATGAACATCCTATAATTTAGTCAATTTACAGATTACAGGTTCAAATTGACCTTGTAGCCCATAAAATTGCTTGTCTTCAGTACAGGGTTAGAAGTGGGAGAAGCGTGTCATAACTGCAGTTGCGGGATTTACATAACAATGGGAAGGGCTCTGCACGCGTGATTCAGCCCCTCTCGCTCGCGCGGCTGGAACAATGGCTAGCCTGCACAGGCTTCCGGTCCAGGTGGGGACGGTTTCCCTTTACTCACCCACACACATGACACTTGTACTCCCTCATCCCGAGGTGCCTTTTGACGTGGTTTCTGGCATCACCGAGCTGAGCTGTTGCGAAGTGGCAGATCTTGCACTTGAATGGTTTTGATCCTAAGTAAATTGAACATAAAACATGATTTGAATTTGAATAATATAGTATGATACTTTAAAAAGAGGCTTAGATCTTAAGTCATACTTTTAATCTAATTACACATTTCTGTCCCCAAAATGGAGCACTGGTATTCCTTTCTAACTGAAAAAGACCTGCATTCCATAATAATTCTGCCAAGGGGACTCCACTGTTCAGTGAGTGTGCCTGGCTTTCCATAGCACGTCTAAGATTTAAAGGCAAAAGTGAGCCAGGTGAGCAGTACTAAGAAGATGAGATGAGCTAAATAATTTTAAATATTTCCCCTACAATTCACAAAAGTCTTTTACAGTCACTCCACATTTAAAATGGGACATTTTAAAAACATAAATGCACAGAGTAGCTGATATCTTTCAGTATATTTTTCACCAAATAAATAAACTTTTTAGTCAATACCTCATTTCCTCATATTTCTGCAGCTTTGAATTTATTCACATTAATAACAGTATGTTAGATATTTTTCACATTTATTCCCAATGAGCCACTCTATTACTATTTTAACAACATACAATATAAGAATGTACAGTGGATAAATTATTTATTTTTATGGTCATTTTATAGACAAAAATCTGTGCTGATTCTGCAAACCAAAAGTACTGACATGTTGGCCATTATTAATTTCAAGAACAAATATTTCAATATAAAAAAACACAGTACCAACAAACTTGTTTTTATTTCATAAAGAAATAAAATTAGCCCTGGTCGGTTTGCTCAGTGGTTAGAGCATCGGCCCGCAGACCTAAGAGTCACAGGTTCAATTCCGGTCAAGAGCACAGACCTCGGCTGTGATTTGATCCCCGGCCCTCGTTGAGATCATGCCAGAGGCAACCAATCAAAGTCTCTCTCACATCGATGTTTCTCTCTCTCTCTCTGTCTCCCCCCACCCCACCTCCCCACCTCCTCCCACTCTATGTGAAAATCAATGGAAAAATATCCTTGGATGAAGATTAAAAATAAAAAGAAATAAAATTAATCTACATTCAGTGAGAAAACAAAATTATTTCAGTCAAAAAACTTAGTGTCACTCACAGACTACACTGGAACACAGCTACCAGTGGATCAGCACCCACATTACTGAGACTACACTGTTGACGGTGCAACATGCATATACCATTTTCTAATTTCCTAACCACTAAATTTTCAAATAAATAAATAAAAATCACAGTTTAAAAGTTAGTACAATATGTTTCCAGATTTTTCAGATCATGTTTAGTCCCCATTTGGTGAAATACCTCTTGTAACATGGTTAGACAGAATATGAAATATGTGAACTTGAATAAATATACAAAAAGAGCTCAAACAAAAAAATTGCAATACATCAAATTTGATCAATGAACCTTTGTGCAGTGCCCTTGAAAAAAAAATCCTCCAAGAATACTTTGTTGAAATTGAAGCACTCAGTAAAAAATTTTAGGGTCTTAAATTTCAATTTAATTCCCAAAAGCTGACAAAAAAAGTGAAGCATTTAATTTTAATCTTCTAACAGAAATAAAAAAGTCAACAGTACTAAGCACGGGCAGACAAGGTTGAGTATTTCACAGTTCAATGACAATGAAGCCAGATCTCTTAATACTTCCATTTCTGCTGTTAGAAGTAGATGTAAAATATATTTAGCACCTGAATGGTTATATCTAGTCAGCTTTATGTGTAAATGTCAAAAGCAGGCTGAGACTGCAGCTTACAGCAATCACATTCTATCAATCACATTAGAAACTACAGTTTATTTAAATGATTCTGATAAAACCAAGCCTATCACCGCTTTGAAACACTTCATCTCGACAGAGAACTCTATAAAGGGACTTATAAAAGACAGGAGTGAGAGGAACCAATTTACCTGTACTTTGAATTAAAATGCATTCAAGATAATAAGGTAATTAGGAAATTATTAATTAACGATAACACCAGGACTTCAAACAAAGAAGATAAAGCTTTCTCAACACTAGCATTACAACTGGTGAAAGGATTGAAAAGACCCGTCTTGATTTCAGTTTCAGGCAGCTCACCCTGCACTGACATTGGGATGCGCTCCTTCCTGCAGGAGCATGCGTGCCACAAGGGGCCAGATACCGACTGTCGTCAGTGCTTTCCATGGCCTGCACAGGGCTCCTTGGTGAGACCCTCGAGCTCCTTCAGGTCTCTGTGATCACTGCTGGCGTGCTGACAACACACGAATGAGTTACTGTGTTGATGGCTTTCATGCAGAAATCACAAAAGCGCTGACTATGTTTCATATCCTATATCCAGAGGAGACGATGTTAACATCTCCTTTCTGTGCCATAAAAATCCAAACACTAGGGGACCAGAGGTACTACTTTTCTGTATAAGAAAAAATATATGTGCTCTTTTTCCTAACTAACCCCATTTCCATTTGTAAGCTTGCATGCAAGCTTGGAGTTTATAAGGCAAATTCTGAAAAACCATGCATTTGTACATTTGTCTTTCAGGTGTATTGTGATTATTATGAACCGTCAATATTGTTTCAAAAATAGTTCTATTTCTTGGGACAACATTATCCTCAGTAGGTTTTTCTTCTTGTTTGGCCTGTGAGGTTTTTTGAAAGGGAAAAACAAGAGGCTTTCTAGCTTTCGGGCACCTTGGAATGTTACCAACAAAATCCCACACACTTTAAAAACTCAGCCTCCACCCGGCCTACACAGGCATTCCTCAGCATCAGTCCCTGCTGACTGTTAGGCAAATGTCGATATGACACTAACGTTAAAAATTAATAAAACTTCGGGTCTTAAAGAATAAGTCAGATGTACACACCCATCATCTACCTAACACCCGTCAATGTGAGCCTCCCCCCCCACTGGCGCTTCATTCCTGCGCGCACCCAGCTGTCACTGTCACTCCCGGGGCCAGCTGTGCGCAGGAAGCGCAGTGCCGCCCATGCTCCCTCCTTCTGCTTACATCCTACAGACCAACTCTCCTGACCGTCTCTTCTCCAGTCCCTCCGGCCTCTAAAACCCATCACATATTCAGTTCCGGGCACCACCAGCCCTGACAGGGGAATTTCTCATTGAAGCACACCACTCCGTCTCCCCGCACATGAGCATTTCCAAACAGCTCGAGTGACCGATGCACTCTGAACATCACACGAAGGCTGCAGACAGTCTTCTAGCTTAAAGGCACCTTCCATGTTATGAGAGATTGAGCGCTGGCTCCCAGAACAGTGCAGGAGAGAAGAGGTGCAGGGGTCTGCACTACCCATGGAATGGGAAAGGGGACACTGCTTTCTGCTGGTGCTGGTGGCTTCAGAGAGCAAACACCCCGGACAACCCTGCAGCACTTTTTTCCTCCAGTTCTTGATGACCAAAGCTCATTTATTTCACAGAGTGCTGCTTCCATCGTACTGAGGATGGGAAGGGAACGTTACATAAAACAGGACATCACACACAGCATGAAGACAGGGACTGGAAGAGCGAGCCCTCTTCCAGTTACCCATCAATAACAGTCCCTGTGTTGCTCTTTCATGGACATAAGCAACGTATCAGAAAAGCAATCCATTCTAAGAGGCGCCAAGAAAAAAACTCAGAGTGAAAACCTAGAGAGCAACTCCTCCCAAAAAATGCCTTACAAGATTGAAATGGCAGATGGGCACTATGCCCTGAGGATCGTGCCCTTTGTGGGACTTCAGAACACAACAAAAATGTGCTTGCCGATAAGCCCAACACAAAATGTTAAAAAGTATGCTAACTTTTACTAAATGTTACAATCAATGATGCAACTTATATAAGTAGGGTTACTTTGTCACATATTGATAGTTACCTCACTTGCACATCCACATTAACTTGATTTTAAATGCAATTAATACATATAGTCAAGGAAGACTAATGGACTACATTCTGCACTTAACCTGGTGGACATTTTCAAATGGCACAAGTGACCAGTGCAAACCTATTTTGCATTGTAAACGACTAAATAAATCTTAATGGATTAAGAATGATCAGCTATCAACACACAAGGGAAATTAAGTGCTGAAATGCCTACATTGATTATTTTAAATTATTAGCCTTACTCTGTTCTTGAATTTGTATGCTTTTAGTGAGCTTTAACACATTTACAAGACTTATTGACTATAATTACAAGAGAATTCAAGTAATGGACACATCAATTATAAGCAACATGTCTTGACCAGACAGTTGCATAAAGAATTCTAAAAAGAGCTCCATTAGCATCTTCTTCTTAGTTTTATTCAGTTTTCTCTGCCTTAAAGAGGGCATATTAAGAAAGTACGTATTTTCTGTGCACGTGAACAAGCCCAATTTCTAAAACCACATCATTTCAGAAAGTAAGCCGCAAGCAGCACCAACAGAGGTACGAACAACCATCCGGCCCCACAGTATTGGGAAGAGCTGGGATTAAGAGTGCAATGTTCATCTTCACCTAGATTCATCTCATGTAGATTTTCCTGCGACTTTCTCCAATGAAAAACTTTTTTCTATCTTTAGTCACCCTAAACTATTAATAATGTTTCATACTCTTCTGTCTTCCTCCTTGTGACGATGCAAAAAGTTTCAAAAACTGCATGAATTTAAAGTATAGCTTTAATAATAAGCCATTATTTTAAAGTACAGTAAAATAAACCTTACAGTTTTAATGAAAATATGTTCATTAAAATGTGAATTTATTATTCAAATCCCCTCATAAATTCAACCATGGAGACAGAACTCGTCTAAGCAGAGCACAGTGATTTAGAAAAGCTGTCTATTTAAAATAAAGAATGTATGGCAGGTTTATAGAAACAGTGCAGGGGATTTTTACATAAATTTAGAACAGTGGCTTATACATTTTTCAGGAAAAAAAAAAGTTTTAAAAAAAATTTCTCCCTGAAATTAAGCACAAAGATGGAGCACTGGATGGGACAGAAACCCTACCAGGCTGTATCTCCATGAACACCAAACCCTGACTTTGAAAGGTGTTGACTGTTTTTGATTCTCAAAAGTAGAATTTTGTTGCCTGGCAGTTATACTTTTGGATATAAACTACCTGGCAATGAATATTCTTAAATCTTTAGAATTGTAGGAAAATTTGTATTATCTCATTCTTCAAAAGCCACTTAGTATATCCTCTGAAATGCAAAGTATCACTTAATAGATGACTTAGAAAACCAAACAGGACCTAAAATATCTGAAAAGCTCTGAGAGACAGGAATGTAACAGAAGCACCAGAGGTATAAGGCTTTTTGATAAAACTGAAAGGAATTTGTGAGATCACCTGCCTTTGGGATCAGAGAGGCCTAATGGTCTTCAGACATGTTACATGTCAACAATGACTATGGCGGCTGTCCCAAGCACCACCCAGCTGAGCCACGTGAACCAGGTGAAGGCCAGCAGCAACCACAGTGGGGACGGCACAGCCAGGTGGGAGGGGACGCCCAGATTTCACCATTCAGGGGCACGTTATAGAGAAGCACAGATGCTCCAGTTCACATACCTGTATGAGTGCGGATGTGGGCCAGGAACGCCATGGAATTGCTGCTGCGACACATCTTGCCACAGTACTTGCAGACATTCCCCTGATTCTCCTCTCGCTCACGGTTGATTTGCTCAGTGTCTTCCACTATGTACTTATTCACCTCCCGGAGCAGTTCCTCATGCTGCCCTTTAATATGCAGAAATAAATTCTGCTCCGAATCAAAGGGCTCTGTACACTTGACACATTTAAAGGTGGCCCCGCCCTCCGGAAGCTCTTCCACGCTGGCCTGTTCATTTCTCATGTGGCCAGCACTCGCCAAGTGCTGGTGCAGGTTGCTCTCTGTGTAAAAGGACTTTCCGCACAGCAAACAATGGAAGTGTTTCTCCTTTGTAGGGTGCTTCATGGCTATGTGAACGTTCAGGCCACTCAACCCATCTGCTAAGAAACCACAATCATCACAGCGGATTCGTGTGGATTCGCCATAGGAGCTGCCTTCCGATTTCCTCTTTTTCACACCTTGAACACAGTCTTTTAATGGTGACTCAATCATTCTCACTTCTGTTGCTATCAGACCCTCTTCAGGCTGGTCTGTCAATTCACCATCTTCTGGGTTCTTTATTCTTATTATGGAAGAATCAAACCGGCCAAAGCTATACATGGCCTGTCCTTTACCATCAATGCTAATTATAGTTTCATAAACATCATTACTTTCCACTGTGCTATCAGAAGCTGGACCGTCCTCTTCCAAAATAATTTCAGTTGCATGTTGGGAATTCAACAGAATTTCCTTATTTTCCAGACCAGGATCTTCTTGCACAGCTTTCAAATCCGCTGACCTCTGCACATGTCCAACTTGGTCTTGACCACAGCTGTCCAGGTTTAGCTGTCCTCCCGTCATTCTCATCACAACAGGGATGGTGCCTTCAGCTGCATGGGCTCCATCCAGAGCTCCAGGACATCCGTGTTTGCTGAGGATCTCACCTGCGTGGTCTCCTCCATTCCCTCCGTCACTCTCACAATGTGCACTTGGATCGCTCATGTCACTCAACCGACTGTGATTATTCTTTGCTGTCTCGTAATTCAAAGCTGAGCTTTCTGAATTTTCATTCTGAAATTTGCTTGGGGAGCCATCAGAGGAAATGTTAAGGGTCCCCATCTCCTCAGGTCTCTTAACTTTATCCTTGGCAAGGGGCTGTTGGAAAGTTTCACAAAAGGAAGGATCTTCACTGAGATTAGATTCTTCTTCAGTCTCAACTTCTACAGAGTCAGGAACACAGAGTACTTTAGACATGTCTAAGTTAGTATTCTCATAACAACCAGCAGCAGTTCTAGCTTTAAGAGTTTCAGGTGAGTGGTCTGAAATTATCTGAAATTCTTCAGAATGTTGTTGATGCTGCTCCTTGGGTATGATGACGTGTTTGGACATGTCAGAAGGACTTGTTCCCACGCCAGGAGAGTTCAGATAAGACTGTCTTTTCACCTTGTGCTTTTCTGTTGCTGCATGCCTGGTCATCTCTCGAGGAGTCACGGCATAGTAATCGCATGCCATGCAATAAAACGAAAATTCTTTTGTGTGTTTCCGTTTTACGTGCAGTTCTAGGGAAGCAGAAGAGTGAGCGCTGAAGTCACAGTGTGCACATTTATTATCACTGGTGCCCGGGGCCCCTGCCTGCGAGCATGCTTCCCCCTGCTGCATCAGGTCCTCTGCTTCTAGAGACACCTGCTCCTTCTCATCAACAAGGTGACCGCTAGATTCCCCATCTGTAGAATGATATACATTTTCGACTTCGACTTCAATAGGATCTCCATGCTCTTGTCCTGGTTTTTCTGAAATGCAGGGATCTGGTTCAGCTGCCTTATTAGCATGTTCATCTGAACTGGTGGTGTTCCTACTACAGGCTTCAAGATTACCCCCTTCAGGGCCAATAATGATATCTGAACTATGCTTTCCATTTGCTTCTATTTCTACACGTCCTTTGTGTTTCTTGGTGGCACAATGACGTTCCATGTCTCCCTTAGTTACGGTATAATACTTGCACACTTTGCATAAGTAACTGTATTGGTGACTGTGTTTTCGTCTAATGTGAACGGTCAGGTTTGTAATACTGGAGGCCAAAAGGCCACAGTGTGAACATGTCCGTGAGATGTTACCTTTAGGTCTCCCTCTCTTTGGAGTAGCGGTCAAAGCTAACGCATCCTCTTTGGTGACTACAGCTGGCCGTGGCTGTTCCTGGGCAAACAGTTCGCTCTCCTGCAGAGAGGAGTGTCCCTGCAGCTGCACGCCTTCGGCATGGCCTTCTGCCCTTTCATCTCCAGAAACGGTGACCTCTTCTTTGCTGTCATTTGCACCTATACAGACCCTTTCGATACATTCTTCGAAGCTTAAGCCAAGATTATTTTTCTTAGCATTTTCCAGATGTTTGCTTCTCTTAATGTGTTTCTCCATCCCTTCTTTGCTCAGTGAGTACAGATTGCATGCTTTACACAGAAAGTGGTAGTCCTGGCCATGCCGGAGCTTTATGTGCCGAGTGAGAACAGTGGAAGACCGAGTCTTATAAAAGCACTTCTTGCACTGAAACTGAGGCTTACTCGCGTGCCTTCCTTCACTCCCGTGGCTTACCCGGGGCTGAGCTGGGTCTTCCTGAGCTGCTCTTCCTGACTCACCAGTAGACTCTGCTGCGTTTTCTGATTCTAAAGTACTTAAAGGTAAAGTCTGTAAAACCAAATCACTGTTAAAGGATTGAGAAGTCTTGGGTTGAACACATAAGCGAATATGCTTCTCCGATGTGTTGTGTTCCTCCATGTCCTCCTCAGACAAGAAGAACAGATTACAGAGAGAACAAAGAAAACCCATACTGTGCTTTTCCTTCATGTGGTCTCTAAGATCTGTTTCATTCAAGGAAATAAACGAGCAGCAATGACAACTGAGGGCAGAACCAGTTTGCTGAAGCTGGTGATTGTGCAAATGTTCGTGTAGGTCCCTCCTCGACACACTGGAAAAGTCACACATCTGGCAGGACAGTCTCACCTCTCTTGCATGGCACCTCTGCATGTGGCCTTCCAACTCTGTCCTGCTTGTAGCCACCTGGCCACAGTCTGTACCAGTGCATGACGTCTGGCAGTCAGAGGCTGCCTTCACTGTCAGAGGGTCAAAGGTGCTCACAGGGTGAGCATTTCTCTCATCCTGCTTTGGGTCCTGGGTCTCTGAGGAAGTTGAGCCCAGACTGTGGGCGCCACCACCCATTTCTACATGTTTGGGCATGGACTCTGCATCACCTGTTTTCATCTGTGTCCTCAAGTGTTTCGTACATATTCTGGGAGTTTCACTAGTGCCTCTTTTATTCATTCCTAAAAGATTAAACCTTTTCTTGGCCTGGCCTTTTAAGGGGAAAGCGCCGCTTCGTCGTCGGAAGCTATTAGCCAAAGTGAGAACACTTCGCTCAGGTCTTGGTCTCGGGGTGGCACTGACACCATGGGCTGCCTGCAGGGTCTTTCTGGGAGATTCCAGTTTATCTAAGAGACCCTGTGAGGCTGCTAACGCTCCGAACTGTCTGCTCTGGTTTTCAGGATTTCGAGCTGTGCCGAGGGAAGAGGCATTTTCTCCGACAATCTCCCCCTTTTCTAGCGAAGTATTCCTGCATGGCCTCGCCTCCGCCAGAAGCCCGCTGCTGCCGCCGCCCCTGGCAAGGCTGCCTCTGCAATCTTTCAGTCTGCTCCCACCATTCCTGTCTCCTTTTGAATCACTGCTCTTTGCTATTTGCTTAGAAGCTCTTGGTTTCACACGAACATTTTTCGTTCCGACGGTACATGGTTTCTTAAGAAAAGGTTGTTTTGTTAGGATCTGCACAAAGCCTCCCCGAGCAGCAAGATTCTGACGCCGGAGATGTGTTTTTCCAAGACAATGTGCATTCAAAAGTTTCTCTTCCACACACTGAAAGCCACAAAGATCGCAGGAAAAGACTGTCCGTGACCCGGGAGTCTGTGTGGCGTGCACCTGCATTGCTGCGCTGCTCTCCACTCCGTGGCCACGGGGGCAGTGGGCAGGTTCCCTGGACGGTGGCACGTGACATGCAGCGTGCTTCTCCAGATCCGAGGACAAGGAAAACACGCGATTGCATGTGCCGCACGTGAAAGCCGGTCCGACACTCCCTGTGATACCAGTGCTAGCCGCACCTTCCGGGGACGTGGGGGGTTCTGCTTCCGAGCCCAGGGAGACCACTGCCTGAGCAGCCCTCTTCTCAGTGTCTGTCTGCAGGGAAGCAGTGGCCGCAGAGCTCAGCCTGCAGAGCGGGGAGAAGGTGCTGGGAAGACACGTGTCTCCATCTGCGCAGGCATTCGGGTAGGACGCCTTCACCGTTTCACCTGGCGGGACCCCCACTTCGGAGAACTCATGGACGCCTTGCTCTTCAGAACTGAGGGGCTCTGCCTCACCCAATCTCATGCGTTTGGAAGCATGTTTAGTCCCGTGTTCCTGTATGACACTGGTTGATGACTCTGGAAAAGCTCTTTTGCTTGTGGAATTCTCAGAGGGACCTGCTACCACATCAGACACAGGCCCACACTCCACATCACAGGACAACACGGTTCTCGAGTCTTCCGCTTCTTTGTGTACATCTTCGTCCTCGTCACTCTCTGGTTTCTTCTCGGCATCCATCGCACTAGACCTGGCGCTGTCCTGGTGTCCAGGGGGCTCACTGGGCACTCATGACCTGTGGAGAAAACAAACGTGGTGTTAAACCTCGGAACATAAAGAAAGATATACATGTTAGTCCAGAAGTAAGCATAAAGTGACACACTGGTCAGCCTCAATGAGATTCCCTCTATACAGAAATGGATTTGGTCCCATGACCCTTTGTGGGAAGAATGACAGTAGATGTTGGAACTACGACATCATCACGCTGTGACTCAGCAAGCAATACTAGGTACCTTCCACAGAAAAGGAGATTTTTCTCAACCAGCCTGCAACAAACTCCCAAGCTTCAACTCCCTTTACCAGTACATTTCAATTTACTACTTTTTTTATAAACAGAGAAGCCCTCTTTCAAATGATGTTCCAGTGAACTCCCACTCTGTAAAGTAAATTAAAACAAAACCACTGTGACCTAGGTCAGGGAGTTAGCTTTCCCCTCTCTGCTTCCCCAACAGAAGCCTAAGTCCCAGGATAAAAGACACATATCTAAAAACTATTTCACTTGTCAATCAATTTCTTCATCTAACAGTCATTTTGTATTATCTGAGGTTAATGGCAAAGGAAATGTCAGTGGTAGATTAGAATTAATGAAGTAAATGGGGGGGGGGATTTATTGAATAAAATGCTTTGAAATCAGTTACACTGATTTTATTTTTCATCATGCTATTTAATTCAATTAAAACACAATATTTTCCATTTACGTTATACCATGATTGAAATTTTCAACCAAAGGGCATTTGATTTAATGCTAATAGAAATCTATGACCTCAAAGCTAATGATAACTGTTTCAATTATTTTTTTCCATAACAATGTCAAACCAAATAAAGGTTGGTGCTTTTGACTCTGCTAAAAGTAGGAAACAGCCCTGGCCAGTTTGGCTCAGGGCGGGTAGAGCATCGGCCTGCGGACCAGAGAGACCCGGGTTCAGTTCCCGCTAAGGGCATGTACCTCGGTTGCAGTTTGTCCCCGGCCCTGGTTGGGTCATGCGGGTGGCAACCACTCGATGTGTCCCTTTCACGTCAATGTCTCTCTCTCTCTCTCTCTCTCTCTCTCTCTCTCTCTCCCTCCCTCCCTCCCTCCCCACTCTATCTGAACAAAAAATGGAAAAATGTCCTCGGGTGAGAATAAAAAGAAAAGTAGGAAACAAAAAAAAATATACAAGATATTACATGCAAAGCATAAGCAACAACAACAACAACAAAAGAGGATATATTGTACTTCTTTAAAATAAAAACTTCAGCCCTGGCTGGTTTGGCTCAGCAGTTAGAGAGTCTGCCTGCAGACAGAAGCATAACGGGTTTGATTCCCAGTCTAGGGCACATACCTGGGTTGCAGGTTCGATCCCTGCAGGGTTGTGCCAGAGGCAACCAATAGATGTGTCTCTCTCATATTGATGTCTCTCTCTCTTTACCCCTCTCTCTCTCTCTATCCCCCTCCCTCCCTCCCTATCTAAAAAAACAAAACAAAACAAAAAACAAATTTTTTCTAAATCAATGGAAAAAATATCCTTGGGTGAGGATTTTAAAAAATAAATAAATAAAAATAAAAACTTCAGCCCTTGGTTGCAGTTTGTCCCTGGCCCTGGTTGGTCGTGCGGGTGGCAGCTACTCGGTGTGTCCCTTTCACGTCGATGTTTCTCTCTCTCTCTCTCTTCCTCTCTCTCTCCCCCACTCTATCTTAACAAAAGAATGGAAAAATGCCCTCAGGTGAGGATAAAAAAATAAATAAATAAATAAATAAATAAATAAATAAATAAATAAATAAAAACTTCAAATGACAGATGACACTAAGCTTCAAAGGCCACCATCAAGAAAATGAAAAGATAACCCACAGAATGCAAAAACTTTGCAAATCATATATCTAATATAGGGCTTAGTCTAGAATGTATATAAAACTCTTACAACTCAATAAAAAGAAAAAATTATTTTCAAATGAACAAAGGAGCTGAATATACTCTTCTCTAAAGAAGAAACACAAATGGCCAAAAAGCACATAAAACATAATCTACATGAGCATCGCTAGAAAAATGCAAATAAAGCCATAATGTAGCACCACTTCACACCCACTAGGATGGCTAGAATCATAAAGTCAGATAATAACACATGCTGGTGAGAATGTGAGAAATCAGAACCTTCATCCAATGCTAGTGGGATGCAAAATGGTGATGCCACTTTGGAAAACAGTTTGGCAGCCCCTCAAATGACTAAACACAGAGTTACCATAGAGCCCATCAACTTCACTCCTAGGTGTATGCCTAAGAGAAATAAAAACCTATGTCCACATGAAAATGTGTACACTAATGTTGATAGCAGTATTATTCATAATAGTCAGGAAGTGGAAACAACCCAAATGTTCACCAATGGATTAATGGATAAACTACATGTGGTACATCCATCTAATGGAATAGTATTCAGCCACAAAAAGAAAAGAAGTACTAATACAGGCCACAATATGGATGAGCCTTGAAATCGTCATGCTAAGTAAAAGAAACCAGTTACAAAAGACAACATACTATATGATTCTTCTTATAGGAAATGTCCAGAAGAGGCAAATCTATAGAGACAGAGAATAGATCACTGGTTCTTTGGGGAGTGAGGGGGAGACAGGTAAAGGGTACAGTGTTTCTTTTTTGAGATAACAAAATGTTCTAAAATTCACAGTGGTGATAGTTGTATATATCTGTGAATATACTTAAATCCATTAAATTGTCGTATCAATGAGTGGATTATATGGTATGTATTTCAATAAAGCTACTTAAAAATTATAATTTGTCATATGTAATCCACAATATAAAATCATCTTATTATTTGTTACTGTTTTATAATAGAGTAACATAATGTATGGCTCTTATTAAAGAATAAAAAAGATAAATGTACGTGATTTTATTACACTTAGAAGATATTCACTATTTCTTCAGACTGTGTGCCTGAAAATATAAATTATATTAACAGGTTAATAGATGTTTTAGGGAGGGTCAGGGGGTTATCCCTGGTCAAATAAGTTTAGAAAACTCTGGTTTAAACAAAATTCCTTTACCACAGGATTTCTCAATACATAAGCATTTCTGAAACTAATTTCATTACAGCCCCTTTGTTTATAAAAAATAGAGATGGGTGTTCCAAAGAACCCTTCAGAAAATGCTCTTTTAGATAAAGCATTGGTTTTGTTATTCAACATTTGTAACAGGAGAGTAAGAGGAGGAAAGAAAGAAAGAATTAATCACATGTCTGTTCCAAAATTTCACTTAGTGCCTACTAGATGCCAAGTATTCTTGGTTCTAGATACTGGAATTAGAGCAAAGAACAGCATGAAATCTCTGCCTTACAGTGTAGGGGGTGAGACAACACATTTGTTTAAATGCATATAATGTCCATCCAGGACATCCCCTTATGATCAAAAGAAGAGTCACAAGGACGGAATGTATTCTCGTGCATGAAACTGGAAAACAAAAAACAGACAATATCTATGAAACAACAACACAAGACATTGGACATCTGGCACCAAAGGACAGTGATTCTGCCCAGACAGAGCCCCGGGGGCTCCTGACAGAGTCGAGGGGCAGCTAGAGGCAGTGGGGCAGAGTAGAGGAGAAAAGAAGTGTGAGAAGGAGAAGCCCAGACGTCTGCAGAGGGTCCCTCCAGACAGAGAACACTGGCATCTTCCCCAAAAACTGTCTCATGCCACCTCACCCACAGTCCTTGGTGACCTTCCTCCTGAGGCAACCACTGCTCCAAATTCTTCCACAGCAGATTAGCTTTGCCTGCTCAGAAGTTCATGTAAATGCATTCAGACACTGCGCCTTTTAAGGGAGGGGGGTCTGGCTTCTCCTGCTCAGCACAATGGTCTTGTTGCATGTATCAGCAACGTGCACGGATATGGACATTCAGTTGATGGACATATGAGCTACTTCCCTTTTTGGTTGGCTTTTATGGTAAAGCTGCCATGAATATTCCTGGACAAGTCTTTTTATTAACGTATATTTTCACCTCTTTTGTGTCAATGCCTAGGGGTGGCACTGGTGGGTCACAGGGTGGAAGGGTAGGGCTAGCTCCATGCTTGACTGATTTGCAAAGTGGCCGTACCAGGTTACATAGCCACCAGCAATGTCAAGAATTCTGAGTGACCCACGACTCACCCACATTTGACGCTGTAAGTCTTTTTTTTTAATCCTCACAAAAGGACATTTTTCAATATTTTGTTTACACAGAGTGGGAGGGAGAGAGAGAGAGAGAAACATCGACGTGAAAGGGACACATCAAGTGGTTATCACCCACACCACCCAACCAGGGCCGGGGACAAACTGCAACCGAGGTACGTGCCCTTAGTGGGAACCGAACCCGGGTCTCTCCAGACCGCAGGCCGACTCTAACTGCTGAGCCAAACCAGCCAGGGCGACACTGTCAGTCTTTTAAATTTTAGTCATTCAGTGGGTATGTGTGGCTTTCCTGCATTTCCCTGATGGCCAGTGACGATGCCAAATACTTGTTGTGTGCTTTGTGAAATGCTTGTTAGCCTCTTGCCCACTGCTTAGTTCAACTGTCTGTCACTGAGCTGGACGAGGTGCTATGGACTCGGGGCACAGATCACTTGTCAGATACATGTTTTACACACATTCTCTCCCTTCCCAGTTTATATTGTTGTCTTTTATTAAACAGTTTTAAATGCTGATGAAGTCAGTTGTTTTCCTGTTCTGGTTATCAATGTGTCTACTTTATTTTCTATCTCCCCATGCTAGAATGTAAGGGCATGGTTCATTTCATCCACCCTTATATCCCCAGAGCCCAGAGCAATTCCAAGCACATATAAGGCACAAGAATGAGTGAATACCTCAGTGTGATATTAGAAGTGTCTCCTCTCTAAGTACTTATAGATGAAATGAAAAACGTCTAAGATACGCTTCAAAATTGTCCAGAAGAAGGGCACAGTGAAGGCTACGTGCTGATAATAACGAAAGCTGAGTGACGGTGACATGGGATTCAATATACCATCCATCAAATTTTGTAGTCTGTACATGTATA